GCTCACTTGCTGTTCTCCTTTGCCAATGTCTGTGATTTTGTATATTGTGAAATAAATTGTGGGAACATTTTAGACAAACTACAGTGGAAACGTGACCAGCTACACGACTTTATTTGATGTTTTGCATTCTGCTTTTTGGCAAATGCTTTCAGCTCTTCCTAAAGCAGTTTGGTAGGATGTTGTTTATTGATTTCTACTAAAAGTTCTTATGAATTCCCAGTTCAGAAACATAAATTGCGAGGTGGCTGTTTTCCTGTGGCATCTGTGTTGGCATCCTGATGGTGCTGGGCAGAAGCCAGAGCTGGAGAGCTTTCTTGGTGAGGCTTGCTCTTCATGGCAAGGAGCTTATTTTTAATCTAGCAAGGAAAGCTCTGAACATGGGATATTAAAAAACCACATGTACTAGTTGAACCAGGGAGTCTGAGCCCAGTTTGGGTCATTTCTTTAAGAAACCTTTGGCTGTCACAGAATAAGCTGTTGCTGATGCTGTCAGAGACATCCCATTTCCTTTTAGCTTGCCAGATTGTTTTTACTCAGTGTAAGTAAGGACCTGCCAAGGTTATGTGAATACCAGGAGTTACCAGCCTACCACCATATCACAGTGTCTCCTGTACACGTTTCTTCAACGGTGAGTAGAAGCCGTTCTCCTGTTGCAGCAACTTCTTAGTAACAGTGTTGTGGAAGCATGAAGCTGGAGAGGTCAGGCTGACCACAGGTTGAAACAGCTCATCCCAAACCTTTGGGGAAGAGGAGTGTGAATGGGAGAGTTTGCGAGCCAAACCTGGGCCCACCTTGTTTCCAGCTGCTCCCAACTTCTCTCCCGGCCAGAGGGAACCACTCTTCTCCAGGTGTCCCTTGGAGCTGCCACGCTGCTGCACCAGCCCGACTCTCAAATTGCTTGGGATGAAACTCTCAGCTGAGACTTTCTCATTTCCAGTTGTTCGAGAGACAGAGCGGCCGTGTGGCCGGGCGACAGCGGGGCAGGGGCAGGGGTGCCTCAACACAGCAGCACAGTGGCTGGGGAGCAGCCCCGGCGCTGTCGGGGCCGTGGCCGAGAGCCGCTGACTCGCGGAGACCTCCGGAGAACGTCGTTTTCTCTGTTGCTGCTTCTGTCTTTGCATTAGTGATGCTGGCAGCCCTTCATTTTGTTTTCTACCACAGACCTTTTCCGTTTAACATGCAGCAGCACCTCCTGGGGTCATTGGCCGTCTCCGTTTGTGTGACCGCTGGGAGCCGATGGCCGCGGGG